ACCACGCCCATTTGACAGAGAGCATGGACGCAGCCCGGGGTGGGAACAGACAGAGCCAACGGCACACGATGGACCCAGGGCCGCCGGGCTCCAGCCGCCTGTCCATGCCCCAGAGGTGGCAAGGTGGGTCGGACGGATCCCCATCCCCACCCTAAGAATCCAGCCCTCCCTCCCTCCCTGCCTCTCTCTCCTGCCCTGGCTCACCCCATCCAGGCTTCAACCAACAAGGTAAGTTCTTCCTCACGTCTGACTTGATGTCATCACGCTTTACTTTAATCCAGTTTCTCCTCCTTCCCGGTGACTCTAAGGCCAGGACAGGTCCCGGGTTTCCTCTGGAGACGGGAATTAAGGAGGACAATGAGATGGGGTGACTCAGAGGAGGGCCTTGGCATGCTGATCCGTGACAATGACAGGAGCAAACACTTGCACAAGTCCCTGAGCTCTGGGGAGGAGACACCTGAGCTGGCCTCCTCACCACCCCTTGGGGTGATAAATCACTCCTCCTCCGTGCATTTATTGAACACTTACTGTATGCACCAGACCTTACACAGACTCAGTCTCATTACTTTTTACATTTTTATTGAGGTGAAATTCACATAACGTAAAATTACGCATTCTAAAATAAATAACTCCGTGACAGTACACTGAGCATGTTGTGCAACCATCACCACTATGTAATTCCAGAACATTCCATCTCCCCAGGAAGAAGCCCCATCCCCATCAGCACTCACTCCCATCCGCTCCCCAGCCCCTGACAACCACTGAGCCACGTTCTGTCTGTGCATCTGCCTGTTCTGGACATTTCACATCAATGGAATGACGCACCGTGTGGCCTTCTGTGTCTGGTTCTCTCACTTTATTATTTTTTTAAATAAAATTTATTTTTTAAAAAACAGTTTTAGATTGACAGAAGATAACACAGGGCCGGCTCTGTGGCTTAGCGGTTAAGTGTGCGCGCTCTGATGCTGGCAGCCCGGGTTCGGATCCCGGGAGCGCCTGGAGGCACCACTTCTCTGTCCAACGTGAGGCCGAGTCCCGCGTACAGCAACTAGAAGGATGTGAACCTATGACATACAACTATCTACTGGGGCTTTGGGGGAAAAAAAAAAAAAAAAAAAAAATTAAAAAAAAAAAAAAAAAAAAAAATTTTAAAAAAAAAAAAAAAAAAAAGAAGATAACACAGTGTTCGTATGCCCCTCGCCCCCGGTTACCTGTTAGCACGAATGTCAGAGTGAGCGACGTCTTGTCAAGGGGAGCAGAGGCCGGCTGCCCGGACCTCAGACATGATCTCGGGGTGACCATCCGATCTGCACGCGCCCCTACCAGATGGGACTCGGGGCCGGGCGCCCACAGGAGCAGGTGAGCCCCGAGCTGGCACCCCCGTCTACCGGGGTGGAGACCGGGCCCGGAGCGGCCACAGCCACAGTCCCGCCTGGGAAAGGCCCTGGCTCCTCCGGCTCCGGGATCTTCCCGCTCCTGGAGGAGCGCGATGTGGAAGGGGCGGGCTGGCCAGGAAACCGCAGACGTCAGATCTGCCGCGCAGCTCAGGGAACAGGCTGTGCCCGCCGCCCCGGACTTGGCAGGCGGCAGGGGGCAGGGAGCGGTCAGCGGCGCGGCCTGGCAGGGCCGGGCAGGGCTCGCTGCCACCTGGAAGGCGGCGGCTCGGCATGTGACACCCCTCTCCCCCCACGCATATGCCGGGCCAGGCCAGGGACGGGAGGGGCCTGGAGGAATCGAGGGGGACAACTGACGTCGTGGGGGCCGGGGGTCCAGGAGGGACGGTGGACCTGGAGGGGGCTGGTGGTGGCCTGGCTGGGGGAGGGGCAGCTGAGGGGTCTGAGAGGAGGGGTCTAGGAGGTGGCTGAACAGATTCGGGGGGCGGGGGCCAGGCTCCAGGGCGCCCAGGTTTCCTCCTGAAGGGCCGGGTTGGGGGAGGGTTGCCACCTGCTGAGCCTGGGGTTCAGGGGAGCCCGCACCTTGCCAGGCGGGCCTTCCCCACAGCTCCAAGAGCCCCCCCTCGCCCCACCCACATCCAGCCTGTCCCCAGCCGTTGGCAGGCCACTTCCTCACACGGCCTGGCATTTGTTCTGTGGCCTCCTCGCCACTGCTCCCACCAGGCCCGTCATCCCTCACTGGGCTGGCTGTGAGGGTGACGATGGCTCCCCAGGTCCTCAGGGCACCAAGTCCACACTCCACGGGGAAAGGTCCATCCAAAAATGACATCCGATCCGGTCTGCGCCCTGCTCACATCCCTCCCTAGGGTGTCCACCCAGGAGGAATGAAAACAGTGTCCACACAAAACCTGGACACAGATGTTCACAGCAGTACGACTCACAACAGCCGACAAGTGGGAACAACCTGAGTGTCCACTGACGGATGAACAGATACACACAACGTGGTCCATCCACGTGATGGAGTATTACTCAGCCATGAAGAGGAGGGAAGCCCTGACACAGCCACACTGTGGACGGACCTTGAACACACGATGCTCAGTGAGAGAACCAGACATAGAAGCCTCCAGCCCTGGACCAGCCCACCCGAGGACTGCCTGCTCCCTGAGCCCAGGCCCCACAGAGCTGACGGCATCTGCTTCTTTCTTGTCCCCTCTTATCACTGTGCTACCTGTCACCTCACGTGGCTTCTCTCAGATCCCCACTCGTCAGATGAGGAAACTGAGGCACACAGCAGTCTGGAGAGCACTGGGATTTCAACCCGGGCTGCTGTCCTCAACCACTGGGTTTCACTGAACCCCCTTCGGCTCCCGCCTCCAGGAAGCCCTCCATGATCCACTCCCTCCCCCACAGGACCTGAAGTCAGCCCTGGGGGGCTGTCCGGCAGAGGCCTGCATACAGCAAGAACTTAATCATGGCTGAGAGGATGGAGTCCAGAGAGAGAGGAGGGCCAGCCGCACGGAGGAGGTTTGAATTAATGGGGTTTGTCAGATTGCATTGTCCAAAGGAAGCTTCGACTACACGCCCTCCCTCCACACCTCCAAAACATGGTCTTCCGTGTCCCCCCTTGGATCTTGGAGAGCTGAGCACCTGACCTCGGACGTGACGGGCAGGTGACACCAGGTCAACCCTGCAGCTCCTGCCTCTCCCCATGGAACGTTTGCTTCCAGAGCTGCGTCTTGGATTTGCCTGCCACGTTGTGAGGAAGCCCCAGCCACATGTGGGACCCGGCCCACGTTCCCAGGCGAGCCCACCCTGGAGCCAGCCCAGCTCACACTGTGCATGATGAGCCTTCCCAGGGGAGGACTCGGGCACCCTCGACTGTGCCATCCGGGCTCCTGACTCGTGGCATCACAAGCCATTAAGACACTTCTGGGCCACCAGGCGGGGGCAGCCCGTGACGCAGCATGAGACCACCAGGATGACCAGACTGTGAGTTTTTATGGTTTTATTAAATCCTTACAAAACAGAATACAAAATTCCGGCAATGACGGTTGTAAAGGAAAACTTCTGAGCTGTATCAGTTCACCTGGTACAGTGGAGTTAAAGTGCTTGGATGTTTTTCCCCCACTTTTAAAAAATTTTGAGTTTTTTTTTGTCTTTTTTACACTTGACATTGAAACACTGCCGTTCCCGGCCCCGCGGCGGCCTGGGATGCGGCCGCTCGTTCACAGTAAGGGTTCTGACCGGCCCCCCAGGCCGCCTCAGCTGTGTGACCGGGGAGAAGCAAGTGGCTGTCCCACCTTTGAAGAAAGAAGCTGCTCACGGCTCAGCTTTCCAGAGCAAAAGGGACATGGCGTCTGCAGCGGGGCGAGGATCCGTGGTGTCTTTTTTTTACAAAAAGGCAGAATCCCCAGATGCAAAAACGTGGAACCGCTGCTGGGTGAGACGTGGGGGTGGGAGCGGCCTCCCCACCCCGGGTCTTTGGAAAGGCCAGTCCACAGATCCGGGCTGGCGGGGCCGGGGAGGGGCGACAGCCCCCACCAGCCACCGCAGACGGTGACAATCGACAATCATACGAGACTCGGGGGGCCGCCGCGATGGCGTCCCAGCCCCCCGACCCACGTGGCCCCCCGACATTCAAGTATTCTTTGAGAACAAGTAAGGGAAATCAACTGATGTTTTATAAAACTAACAAAAGGGGACGAAGGACTAGAAGCCAGAGGGCTGTCCGGCCAGGCCGTGGGAGACCTGCCCAGACCCCAGGGCCAGGCTGCCCAGGGTCAGGGGCTGCGGGGCCCCGCCGGCTGGCAGGAGCACGTGTGCACGTAGAAAAGGAAGCCTGTATTGCATAGTGTTTCCCACCCGAGGACGAACAGGGGTGTCAGAGTCTCCCCGGGCCTGGCGGGTCACTCGGCGTCTGACCGGGCGCTGGGGCGGGCGGAGTGGGCACGGCGATCCCTGGGTGCCCTGGGGGGGCCGTGGCAGCTGTGGCCGTTTTCCTGAAGGTGGGCAGAGCAGAAACGCCGCCCTCGGGGTGGGGGGTTCAGTGGGGCCCCTGCTCCGGGGAGGAGCTGGCAGCTCTCACAGCAGCCCCGAGGGGTTGGGGGGGCAGGACGTGGCCATGGTCAGACTGAGCCCTGAGAAAGGGCACTCGGGTGCCCGGGGGGGTCTGCGGGACCCCCACGTTGGCTGACGGGCGCCTGTCCAACCCCTCCTACGCGCTTGGTGCCACCCTCCTGGGCGGGCAGAGTCCCCGTGGAGCGGGCCGTGGGTGGGCCCTGGGGTCAGCTACAGCTTAAGGTCCAGCTTCAAGGGAGCCTGGACTGTCAGTGGGGGGGGCCCAGCGGCCATCCACCCCGCCTGCGCACACCCAGACTCCTCCTGCCACAGGGGAGACCTGAGAAGCCCCCGAGCCCCGCCAAGCCATCACGGTGTCTTTGGGGCGAGGGATGAAGGAGCCGCGGGGTCGGCCTGTCCCTGAAAATACTGTGAGGCTGGGGAGGGGGTGGGCGCGGGGGTCCCGGCCCCCAGCCCCGGAAGACGGCAGGCGCCCTCCTCTCCTGAGTCGTGTCTGGGCGGCGGCGGCGGCACAGGGGGTGGGGGTGGGGGTGTGCAGCACGGGGGGCCTTTCACAGTAGGTGAGCATCCGAGGCTGGGGGAGGGCAGACCCAGCGACACCCCCACTCCCCCCCAGCCCGGGCGCCTGCTCTGCTTTTAACACCATTAAACGGGGAAAAAAAAAAACGGGAGGCAGGACAGAGATAAGGAAAAAACCCAACAGCAAAAACCTCATATAAAAGAGCCCCCCCGCTGAGCTCAGCGCCTGGGAATCCAGCCGGGGGAGGGCAGCCTGCTGGTCACCGGCTGGCCGTAGCTTAAAAAAATCTTTAGATTTGACGGGGGCGGGGGGACCTATGTACAGAGGGAGGGAGGGGTCACGCATGGTCCCCAACCAGGACCACGGGGGCCGCGGACAGGCTGGCTCGCTGCCGCCGCTGAGCCAGCTTGGACTGGGAGGGCGGCGACAGCTGCAGGCAGCGTGAGGTAGCTCGGATGACCACGGGCTGGCCCTGCCCTGCCTCCTCAGCCGCGTCCTCCTCACGCTGGGCCAGCTGCCGGTTCATGGCGATGGCCTCGGCCGCGAACGACGTGAGGTCTTTGGCACAGCTGTTCCTGGGGACGGGGCAGGGCAGTCACCAGGGAGGGGGAGGGGAGCCGCAAGGACACCCCCTGCTTCCCTCAGGACCCCTGGGGTCTGTGCAGGCCCCAGGTGCTCCCAGCCTCCCCGGGAGGCCAGGACCCCAGCAGGGGGCCCCCTCTGCCACCCAGTACAAGGACACCCAAGCGCTCGCATGGCTTCCCCTCCCCCAATTTAAGGACAATTTTTTTTTTTAAACAGCTTAACATTTAACCCCACCCCTAGATTTGGAGATCCCCTCCCCAACCAAGTGCCTCACCTCTGCAGAACCATGGGCGTGGGCAGGGTGTTCTCCGGGGCGCACTGCGAGGAGACAGGAAAAGCAGGGCTGGAGAGCAGACCCTGCCCGCCCCCCAGGACGGCCCTCCCGGGTACCCCACCAGCTGTGAAACCACCCGGGATAAGGGGGTGCACGTGCCCAGGAACTGAGCCAGGCCGGAGTTGGGGGCATGTTGCAGGACCCCACTCACCATGGCCACCCCTTCCTGCGGTTCCTGACCCAAACCCACAGCAGCCCCTCCCTTCCCACCTGCGGTCTCCGGATGCTACGGGAAGGGGCTGGGAGCCCCTCCACCAGGCCGCCTCGAGAGCGGGGCCCCAGTGCCAACTGCTATTCTGGGTTAAGCCCCCTGCCCTGGTGGCCTCCTGCCCTGGGGTGGCAGCCAGCTCAGCCGACGGCTGGCAAGGAAAACGCGAGCTCTTCTGGAATCGGTGGGGACGGAGCCCTGCACTGGGGTTGGCAGGCCTGGGTCCACCCTGGGTCAACTGGCCCTGCCCGAGGCTGCCTGCCAGCCCCCTGGCTGACCTCAGCGCCTCCAGGGCACAGGGCCTGCGATCACCAATCACAGAGCAGCAGCTGCGGCTGCTCCTGCCCGGCCCTGGCCAGCAGGGGACGGGGAATTCACTGCTGTGCCCCTCAGCCCCTGCTGTGCCTGGGTTCCCAGCGGATCCCACGACTGAGCCCCAGACCCACGCTGCACCTGGGGGCGCCGACGATCCTGGGCCCTCCCGAGGGCTCGCGTACACGTGCTCTAGTCACCCCCGGCCCACCAAAGAACAATGGATAGAGGCGGGAGGCCCCGCACCCTCACGGCCTGTCGGGCCGGCACTCACCCCCCGCACCCAGGGGTGCTGCAGGACCTGCGCGGCACTGAGCCGCTGCTTGGCGTCACGGACGAGGAGCTTCGAGATGAGGTCTTTGGCGGCGAAAGAGATGTGGGCCCAGTCCTTGTCAGGGAACTCATACTTGCCCTCCTGGATGCTCTCAAACAGCATGTTCTGGGGGACACGGTGGGGCGGGGGGGTTAGCCACAGCCAGCAAGGGCCGAGGCCTAGTGCCCGACATCTGGACGGGCGAGCCTGGACCTGGGGGGGGACTGCGACCCTGCTGAGTGACAGGCTCTGTCAGGACTCCTAGACACACGGCCTAACTCGTGCCCCGGAACCCACGTTCAAGGACCCCGGACTGGCCACTCGGACAGCAGGGTGGGCAGAGGGCTGGAGAGGGCTGTGTGGGACTCAGGCCTGGCGTCCGTCCTGAGGTTAGCTGACAAGGCCTGGGGCTCTGGAGGGCCAAGGAGCCAAAGGTCTGGGGGTGGCTGGACGGAGAGCCGGCCTCAGGGAGGCCCTCACTGGCCTCTGCCCAGGGGGGCCCACTTTACAGGAAGGCGGCTCCAGGGGGCACCGGGCCACGAACCCTGAGCCCCACACTGTGTGGGGATGGAAGACTGGAACCTGCTCACCCCAAACCACAGGCCTCAGCCCATCTGAGCCCCCTGACCCCGACTGCTGCTTCTTTTGGGCCAGGAGACCCAAACAGCCTCTGGAAACCCAGGAAGGCCAAGTTGGCACTGCCCTGGGAACCTGTCAGTGGTCAAAGACCGGACCCTAGGCGGTGGATGTACGCGTGTGTGTGTGTGTGTCTGCACACACCAGGCCTGGAGCTGTGTATGGGGAGGCCTTGGGGTGCAGTATGTGTGGTCCAGTATGTGTGCATGTTTGCACACGGCGCAGGCCTGGAGTGTGTGCAATGGAGGCTGTGCCTGGGGGTGTGCAAAGGGAGGCCTTGGGGTGCACAGTTCAGGTCCCAGAGCGGGCGGCAGGCGTGTGTGTGCACTCACGGCAGGGGGAGAGCTGTGAGTGGGGGTGCACGGTCCAGATCCCAGGGTGGGGGGTGAGGAGGAGGATTATGTGAATGTGCAGACAGGGCAGGCCTGGGGGTGTGTGCACACGGAGCTGTGCCTGGGGATGCGCGCTGCGGGTCCGGGCGAGGGGCAGGAGGGTGTATATGTGCACGGGGGGGCTGTGCCTGTGGGTGTGCGCGCTCGGGCCCGGGCGGGGGGGCAGGGGTGTGCATGTGTGTGCTGGGGGCTGTGCACGCCGGTGTGCGCTCGGGCCCGGCGGCGCGCGCACCTGGCAGGCCGGGCAGGCCTCGCCGCGGTCCCAGCCGCAGTCGCTGCCGCAGCGGCCCACGAAGGGCGGGTAGCCGCTGAGCAGGATGTAGAGGATGACGCCCAGGCTCCAGAGGTCGCAGCGCTTGTCGTAGATGCTGGCCTCCTCGCTGAAGGCCTCCACCACCTCCGGCGCCATGTACTCGGCCGAGCCGCACTGCGGGCGGAGGGGGCGGGGGGCGTCAGGGCCGCGGAGGGGGAGGGGAGGGAGGGGACGGGCGCCCCAGGGCTTCCCAACGTCACGTGAGGCGCCGGAACGCCCGTCACCTGAGCCCGCCACGCCTGGCGGTCCCGCACGGCCAATCAGAGGCTGCCGAGGGAGCCGGTCCCGCCCCGACCCCAACCCCGTCCAATCAACAGGGGCCAGGAGCCCACCCCGCCCCCTGCCCAATCAGCAGCAGGGCCAGGAACCCGCCCCACCTCCCGTCCAATCAACAGGTGCCGGGAGCCCACCCCGCCCAGTCGCGCCCGCCCGGCCAATCAGCGGCTGTTGCTAAGCAGAAGCCCGAGCTCTACAGCGAGCGGCCGAGCAGGCCCGGCACCTTGAAGTTACGCAACCGCAGCTGGACCGGATCTGGACCGGATCCGGGCCGTGCCGCCCCTCCCCGCCTCGGGGCGCCCCTCACCGGGGTGAGCAGCTCCGGGGTGGAGATGGGCGAGCAGTCCCCGTTGAGTTTGATGCCGCTGCCCAGGTCGAAGTCGCAGATCTTCACCGGGGAGACCTAGGGAGGGCGGGCGTGAGCGCGGGCCGGGCCTGGGGTCCCCCGGGGGGCCGCCCCCCGCGCCCCTCACCTGGTTGGGGTGCTCACAGAGGATGTTTTCTGGCTTTAGGTCCCTGTGGGCGATGCCTGCGGGAGTGGGGGAACCAAGCAGAGGGTCAGTGGTAGGTGGACGGGGCACAAAGCTGGACATGGGCGGGACCCCTTGGCAGGCGGCACCCACCTTTGTTGTGCAGGAAGTCCAGGGCGCTGGCCACGTCCTGCACGACCACGCTGGCCTCCAGCTCGTTAAAGTGCCGCCGCTTGTGGATGTGGCTCAGGATGGAGCCTGGGGCCAGCCACGGTGCAGGGACAACACGCTGGGGTTACCTCCACCTGCCCAGGCCACTGCCCAGCACCACCCCACCCCACCGGGCAGGGAAGCCCCCACTCTGGCCTTCTCAGGCCCCAAAGTCCTCCACCCTGCGCTGCCACGTGGACAGGAAGCACAGACCCCAGAAGCCGCGTCTGATGAGCGGGACCCTCTGAAAGGTTCTCCCTGGGGGCCCTGAGCCCCCTCGCCTGTGGGGACCCAGTGGGAAACATCTCCCAGGCCCCACATACCGCCCCGCATCTTCTCAAACACCAGGTAGAAGCGGTCCTCCTCCTCAAAGAACTCGATCAGCTCTAGCACGTTCCTGGGGTGGAGAGTGGAGACGCAGGAGAGGAATGAGGGTTCCCGATGCCCCCGTGCACCCACAACTCAGCCCAGGAGGGCCCAACTCCTCCACCACACCTGCCGCAGGAAGACGGGGACTGGAGCCATGGCTTGTGCCCACCTTGGATGGTCAGCCTCCTGCCACTAGGCCCACCCACAGCACCCAGCACAGGGCCTGGTACACAGTGGGTGCTCACTAAATGCTTGCTGGGAGCGATGAGGCACTCAGGCCAACTGATCCCGAGAGACGGCTGGCAGCCCGGTGCTGTGACAGGGTGGGTCACGTTACCTGTGTCCCTGGCACTGGTACAACATCTCCACTTCCCGGAAAACCCTGCTCCGAATGTGGCCTGGCTGCTTCTCGATGATCTGAAAGAGCGTGGGGATGGGGAGACAGCAGCCAGGTCAGCCAGCCTCTCCACAGCCTCAGGGTGCCCCCTGAAACTCCCTGTGCCACACCTGAAGGACCTCTAAGCTCTAGAAGGCAGAGCACTCCTACGGGGAGAATTTGCCGGAAGTCAGAACTGTGGCGTCGGCACCAGCTGGGGGCAACGTGTTTCCCCG